GTGGGTCTTTTGACGGGTTCCTGCCCTTGCGTATGTTTAGTGCTCCTAACGGTGTGCCAGGCTCAGGGCAAGGCCCTGAGCATACGAAGATGAGTTAGGCAGGCCCTGCCCTAGAGACTCTACTAGGCAACTTTAATGAGGTCAGAACCACAGAAGTACTGATGAGAGACTCCTGACTCCCGGTGTTCAGGGAAAGCTTTTTGAGGAGAGGATGCCCGGGCTTACCTTTTTTTTGTTTGTTTGGTTTTGTTTTTTTGAGACAGAGTTTTGCTCTTGTTGCCCAGGCTGGAGTGCAATGGCGCGATCTCGGCCCACTGCAACCTCTGCCTCCCGGGTTCAAGCGATTCTCCTGCTTCAGTCTCCCGAGTATCTGGGACTCCTGCCTCAGCCTCCCGAGTAGCTGGGATTACAGGCATGTGCCACCACGCCCGGCTAGTTTTGTATTTTTAGTAGAGACAGGGTTTCTCCATGTTTCCTGGTCTTACCTTAAAGGGCAAGACTCAGCCAAAGGTGGAAAAGTTGAAGGGGTGTTCCCAGCAGAGAAGATGACACAAATAAAGGCACCAACCACAAAACGTCATACGTAAACATCATACGTGTCAACCACAAGTCAATCAGTTGGATATTTCATTCGCTGGTGTACATATGGACTGTAAGATGAGTCACGAGAGATGCGATTCCATCCTGACGTCTTCCGCAAACTCCAGACTGGTATAACCAACTTCTTCCAAGTCTGAAATGATCTCAAACTGAGTATATCCCAAAGAGAATTCTTGTTTCCCCCACTCTACTCAAGTACTCCAAACCTGCTCAACCACCAGCCCATTCCATTCATCCAGTTGCTCCTCCCAAAAACCTTAGTGGCTCCTCAGGGCCTCTTTTTCCTCCCCACACCCCTTCTAATGTATCAGTCAGGTCAGCCAGTTCTGTAATCAGCCTGACTGTATCTGGAGCCTGACTGCTTCTCACTACTTCCATTACGGCCACCCAAGCCTACGCCATCCTGATCTTCTGCCTTGACTATTGCTTTCCTGGCTTCTATTCTAGCCTTTAATACAGGCAGGCCTGCATAGCAGCCAAAATGCTTTTTGAAAAACAAAAAGTAAATGTGATTCTCCTACTCAAAACCCACCAATAGTCTCCTATGACTCTCGCAACAACCTGTGAGCCCAGCCTACAGTTTACCCCATGTCCTTATCTGATTTGACTCCTGGCCATCTTAATGACTCTGCTATCCTGCCACCTTGTAGGTCCTCTAAGCCACCAAAGGTGTCCCTGCCTCAGGATCTTTCCATTTGCTATTCTCTGCAAGGAAAACTCATCGCCACATCATCCCATTTTCAGTTCCCGATCATATTCAGATGTCTGCTCATACACATCTTCCCTCAACCTTGCTTGCCCATCCTGTCTAAAAGAGCACCCCTTGCCCCTGCTCCTGTCACTCTCTACCTCCTTCTCCTGCTCTATTTTTCTCTATAGCACTTATCACTCACTACCCGGAAAACAAAACAAAACTTGTTTAATGCCTGTCTTTACCACACCACTGGCATGTAAATTCATCTTACTCTCTTCTATCCCTAGTGTCTAGACTGGTTGGCCTAGTAGTAGTAGTAGGACATAGTAGGTACTCATTAAATATTAAATAATAGTAAGTTCTCATTAAATATTTGTTGAAGGAATGAATGTACTTATATATAACACTGTGAAGCTTGACTTCTGTAGGTGATGGGGAAATGCGGGTAGATGTCCATTTCAGGTAGATCATTCTGACAGTAACCTAGTACATTTCTGGTAGATCATTCTGACGGTAACCTAGTACATTTCAGGTAGATGATTCTGACGGTAACCTCGTACATTTCCGGTAGATCATTCTGACAGTAACCTCGTACATTTCCGGTAGATCATTCTGACAGAAACCTAGTACATTTCCGGTAGATCATTCTGACAGTAACCTAGTACATTTCCGGTAGATCATTCCGACAGTAACCTAGTACATTTCAGGTAGATCATTCTGACAGTAACCTCATACATTTCAGGTAGATCATTCTGATGCTAACCTCGTACATTTCAGGTTGATCATTCTGACGGTAACCTCGTACATTTCCGGTAGATCATTCTGACAGTAACCTCGTACATTTCAGGTAGATCATTCTGACAGTAACCTCATATATTTCAAGTAGATCATTCTGACAGTAAGGTAGTACATTTCCAGTAGATCATTCTGACAGTAATGTAAAGAATGGAGTGGGATCATGACAGGGAAAATAGAGACAAAGACAAGAGATCACTGGAATGGACTAGGTGAAAGACCCTGAGGGTAAGGCAGTCCACCTTCCACACCGCTGCCAGCATTGCCTTTCTCTTAAACACACATGGGCACACAAACACACATATACACATGTGAATGTGCACACACAGATCAGGTCATGGTCCTTCCAGTGTTAATAAGCACATACTGGCTGCAAGTACTACAAAAACAATTTGATGTAATTTAAGCATAAGGGATGCTTATTAATAGTAAGCAGGATGACCAGACTCACAGACCCCCAGAGCACGGATGCTTTAGAATCTTACAGAAAGTGCTGAGGACTAGGACCTGAGAAGCCATTATAAACCAACACTCTCCTTTATCTCTTATTTCTGCATCTTTCAGTGTATCTGCTTTGTTCTTCTGTCTTTCTCTGGTCCAGTTTTCCTGGTAATGGTATAGAAGATGGCTGCCCTGGCAGCCTCTCAGTTTTTACATCTTCTTCAAGAAACCAGCCCAATCTGAACTGAAATCTTCTATCCTGAATTCCATATATCTGAGAGATGGGCAGGTCCTCTGGGACTATCAGCTATGTCTACAGGAATGAAGTACAAACATGCCCGCTGGGGGTCATTGTGAGCTGAACAGATACCCTAAAGGAGTCCGTTGAACATCCTACCCTTTGGTTCCCCATGGTCCCTCCTCTATAACACACACATCCTTATTCCTATTTATACATTCTAAAGATGTTCCCAGTGATGCATTCTGTTCCCAGTAATGAATTCTAGGTATACCGAAACCAAATTCAGTCACACTTAACTTCTGCCAGTCATATCTAGCCACTTCATCCTGAGATAATGCGATGGAGCCATTCATTCTCCAAGGCCATTACCAAGTTCCGGCTGGAGGGCTTTAAGAGTAGAGGCTAGAGTCTTGGCAATCCATTTCCACATTGAAGTGGGCCTGCAGATTGCCAGAGAGACTAAGAATCAGTGTGTTGTTTGAATTAGTCATAGTTCTCATAGTGCACGCTTGTGATCTTTCTGTGGTTTCATTCTGTATAAACTTTATTGGCTCTCAGTTTCATTTGTGAGAATTCTAAAATTCTGCAATCTTGTCGGGTCAGGCTCTGTGAGTCCTCAGGGTTGCTAAACCCCCTAGAAAGGAGCCTGGGGA